GAGCGAGCGCCGGTATGTGTCCGCTCACTTCCAGATCTACTGAGCCGACCTGTGACAGTCTCATTGTCACAGGTCGGCACAGATTATGAGGCTGAGTAAAAATCACTCACCTCATAATTCTCCTTTAAATCAAATACACATCTTGGACTGATTTTTTTTAAACTACCAAAACCAAAATCTATTCATATTCCATAAATCCTGATAAAACTACATTCATGTGTCTACCCAAATGTTTAAGTAATAATTAACAATCAAGTAGATGCCAAATATACCTATGCTTTAATGCACAGACAGCAGATAGGACACATTACATCTCCTAAGAATATGAGTAAGATCAATATCAAGTTTGGTGTCAACCAAATCGTGATATAAACCTATTCAAAAATATGTTGGTTGTGAGATTGTCATAGTCATCTAGAAATATTGATATAGTTACAAAAATTGGCATTGAGTGAGTGTCCACTGACATTTAATAAAATGCTTCAGCACTCCTTTATCACAGCTTTCTTGATTGGGTGTGGATTGGCTGAGTAACACCCTCTGGGGGGATCAACAAAACGTTGCTGCTATTGGCAGCTGTAGCTCTTGTTACTACCATACTTATGAAGGATTGCAAAGGGTTGTCCATGAGAGCCAAGGATCTTAATACATCAGATTACTCTGAAGCGGATTGGACTCCAAAATCAAAGACCAGGATTGGATACCTCAGTGATGAACACTTTTAGTCTGTTGGCACTAAGATTGTTTCCAAGAAGCTGGAAAATCTCTGTGCAGAGGCTGAGAGTGCACTCATTACACTCTTGGTGACTGCGGAGGGATTGGATACACAGGGAGAACTGGGAATGGTAGGGACTAATTCCTGTGAGCTTATGATAATGAGGTGACCAAGATGGCTGCTTCTCTGTGAAAATGATAAGGACTCACCTAGATAAATTGCTGTGCTGTCCTCACATATAATCCTATATCATTTAGCTTCCTTCATTAAATGAGCACAACACAGTTTTACATTATTCTAGCATTGACTTCCTTTGCAGGAAGGATTGGGCCCATAACATCTCAGAGCCGCAAATTAAGTTGGTGTTGGAAGACTTCACCCTGATGGTCTGAACAGTGAGGTGGTAATTATACAACACCAGCTGTCACTGACTGCAGGTCCTGCTGTGATTGAGGTCTGAAAGGCGGAGTTTCTCTACTCAGGTCCACAAGCCAAACATATATTTGTACTGGCCCAGGGGGCAAATGCCCCCCAGCCCAGTCCTCCCATGCATGCAACTGGCTACATAACTGACGAGGACTGTGTGTGTTCTGTCTCCCCACACTTTATACCATGTATCAACACATGGACTTATTTTGTTAGATGTAAATAGCTTATTTTGTTAGATCACTTACAGTGGATGCTGCTCCTTGAAGTTAAAACATTTTAGTTTCCTGCAGAATCAGCTGGTCCCCTGAGCACTAGTCCTAATATCCTGTTTTAGGGTGGCTCCTTTCCCTTGCAGGGTCCTATGGAGCCACCCTTGTGTGTGCTGGTAAGCTGTGTGTGTCTCCACAACTGAATAAAGACCTGTGGCTACAGACTTTTGTTTTAGTCAGGCAGGTTTTGCATTACCTTACAAGTCTATGGGAATTCAAAATCCACTTGAAGAAGGTCAACTGCAGGTCAAATACACCTGTCAATGAATTCTGAATGATCTTAGAAACGTCTCTGATGCCATGGAAACAATCCCACAGCCCTTTGACACAGGCCCTAAAATAGTTTTCAGCCCTGTTCTATATATAAGTGCTAGTTAGTTCTAAGTATAAAAACAACCTTAATCAAAGTGCACTTGGCATAACCCTTTTCTTCTTCTGTTTCTTCCTCTTCCTCATGTCTGAATGAACATGCGGTTGTCACGGCTTCACCTGTCATCAAACAATAAGTTGTAATGTGTTAGATGGCAACATCTGCTCTTTACAACAGTAAGGGGTTGATTTGTAAAGAATGTGCAGGGCCATTTGCCCTGCGAATATCTGTGAACATTCGTCCTGTGTGAATACACGCACCCACACACACATTCTTTATGTTTCCTTTACAAGCGTAATTAAATTAGAATGTTCTGACTGTAATATCACATTATGGCCACTAGATGGACCTAAAAGATCATAGGAAATAAATATCTTCTATGCTCCTTTAGCACCACCTAGGGGCCAGAATGCGATATTACAGTCAGAATATTTGAATTTAATTACACTTGTAAAGGAAAAATCGAAAGAACATTTGTGTGGGCATATATTCACACAGCATGAACATTCACAGACATTCGCATGGCGAATGGCCCTGTAAATTTGTTATAAATCAGCTACTATGTGTGTCTTTTACAAAAACAGACAAGCTCAACTGCCATGTAAACTGGTTCATCCTAAAATGATGGCAAAACTAAGAAAAACATAAAAATGTAAAGGTGTTATTAATACACTTATGAATAGATCTGATCCAGGCAAAATGCCTTTTCTGTTTTTTAGCAGGTATCTACTTTAACTGTACTTTAAGCCAACACTGCCCCTCCCCCCAAAAAAATGATTAAAAAAATTAAAATGAATGGCGTGAAGCTTAGTGTAGCAGAATATCTGTCAATCTGTTGTTGACAGTAGGAACAGCAGGTGATAGTTATTTATGAAAAGGGAGTGGAATGTCAAAATGATTTTAGGCCATTTAAAATGCTGATTAGATCACTTACAGCTGCTCCTTGAAGTTAAAACGTCCTACAGTATCAGCTGGTCCCCTGAGCACTAGTCCTAATATTCTGTTTTAGGGTGGCTCCTTTCCCTTGCAGGGTCCTATGGAGCCACCCTTGTGTGTGCTAGTAAGCTGTGTGTGTCTCCACAAATACAGCAAGGTAAGACACTCCCCTCCTCCCATTCCTGCTTCCTCCCTTCTCCGAGCTAGTAGATGGACAGCTGCTGGAGACTGTGCTGTGCCTTGTAATATTGTACCGGACAGGAAGTTTAGGGAAGCCGAGCTGAGAGAGTGGGAGCCATCTGTTTGAAAACATGATGACTGTAAGTGTTTGGGCAAAAATGTAAGGAAATACTTTGCTGGGCAATGTAAATTTGTTTGATCTGGATTCATTATGGGAAAAAAAGTTTGAGGGTTTAATACTACTTATAGAAACATTGTTTTGTGAAGGTGATCACTTTCAAGTGACAGTGATCACCAGCTTGAAGCCAGTGTATTCACTGCTCAGATCTTAAACTATGAGCATGCTTGCCCTGGCATCCTGGTCACCACAATAATCAGGTACACATGAGCGTTCCATTAATAAACATACTTGTGTACAGGCTTTGATTTTCCCGTCTTCCTGATAGAGAAAATCTCAAGGTTTCAATATCCTCTTAGCCATCATTTAAAGGTGATCAAATACTTACACTGAACATTCTTTGTAAATGTGCTGTAGTCTTCTTGTCCGGAAAACAACTTACGTACCTTCTCTAAGTCCGGTCGCTGTATATTTTTAATCTTAAAGAAAAAAAGCATAAAATATTGCTTTTACTTTTCTATGAAATGTAATTTTACACTCCCCTGTTTGTTATCGGGCAACAAAAATAGCCTGTTTCATTGCTGAACGTGCCTTCAGGCTAATCCAATAATCAACATCTGAAGGATGATCAATCACCCACGGACCAAATGGATTTCATCATTAACTGAATTCAATTAAAAGAAATCTACTAGATGCTAATCCTTACCTCACTTTGCATTGAAACGTTCCTTTTTGAACTGTTTTATTGAACAATGCTGCAGGTGCCTTAATGCACAACAAATGTGATCTATAAAACCTGCTATAGAAGAATAAATAAGGCTGTAGCAAATACACTAATATAGTACTAAGTAATCAAATGTTTTTCATCTTTATTTCTGCACGGGAGATGACAGTCAGTATCAGATTAGGTGCAATAGATATCATCTGCAGCTGTCTGGTCAGAAAACTAAAACAAGCATCCAACTGGTTGTGTGAAGAAGACTTATGGGCTGATTTCTAACAGGGGTATTCACAAAAGGGAGAAGGGTTTGGAGAAGGCAGGAGAAGTGAGCAATCTAGCACAACATAGCTGATTTGGAAAATGTCTCCAATTCAGCTCACTTTCCGGTTCAGCGGTGTTGTCCTAGATTGTTCACTTCTGTCTTCTCCAATCTCTTCACCCTTTAGTGAATAGCCTTGTAAATGTTCTGCCCATCGTATAGATGGGAAGATGCCACTCACGCTAGTGCCCCTAGATGGCGCTTAAGAGCATAGGAATTTCCTATACCCTTCAGTGCCATCTAGTGGTACTAGTGCCCTGCGAATGGCATCTGGGTGGAACAGATCAGCCTAATACAGTTCTTTCATCAGTCTTGTCATCATTTTAGTTGACATAGTTACAAAGTTAGGTTGAAAAAAGACACATGTCCATCGAGTTCAACCTATAGAGATATGGAAAAAAAAAAAAAGCCTAAACACAACGCTATGCTCACAGTTACCCCCTGTTGATCCAGAGGAAGGCAAAAAAAACCTCTATTAAGCATGGTTCAATTTGCTCCTACAGGGGAGAAAAATTCCTTCCTGATCCCATAAGGCAATCGGATATTCCCTGGATCAACAATCTCTGATGCTTAATACACCTTTTTTAATTTCATATAATAATAATAATAATAATATTAATAATATACAATAATTTATTTATTTGCATCAGATCTGTTTCTCTTTGGACTTTATGAACAGCAATGTCTGGTCTGCCCAATCGTACAAAATATTCCATAGTAAAAGTTTGTTTAAAGCTTTTATATGGGGCCTTCTTTTTGTGTGATTGCTGAGAAAACAAGTCAGTTTGATCATCGGATTCTTTGCCTTCCAACTCTTTGATCTCAGCAATTAAGTAATGACTGGCTGAAAAAACATTAAAGCTACAAACAAATACAAAAAATGTATTTACTATTTCTGAGTCTCTGCTGAATTACCATAGATATATGCAGAACAATGACTAACCACTAAATGTATAACTGACATGCCTAGATTTTGCCTTTTCTAACAATTTGTAATGACTTATTAGGTAACAAAAGGGTGGCTTATGGTTTTGCAGTGCTGGAGTCCTGTGTTTAAATCTCCTTCAGGGATACCAGGTGCCTATTTCTAATCAATCTGCCGAGCCATTTTCCCTGCAAATTTCTGCGAGCATTCGTTCTATTCAGAAAAAGGCAAAAATCAAGTTCTTACCGTGTTTCCCCGAAAGTAAGACCTACCCCGAAAATAAGACCTAGCACTATCGTCAGGGATTTCTGTAATATAAGACCTACCCCGAAAATAAGACCTAGTTCGGTGGTAGATCTCATATTACAGAAATCCCTGAAGATAGTG